ATACTCTATATATTAAAATAAATATCTGAATATATATATTTTTTCACAAACAACAACAACATCAATATATTTTTCAATTAACACTTTAAATAAAAAATTCCTTTAAAATTTTCCTCAAATTTTTTTTCCTAAAATAATTTTATCAATATATCTTCATACTCGTATTTTATTATATCACATAAATATAATTTATTCACAAATACCATCACAAAAAATTGAGCAGTATCAACATAATCAACATTAACCTCAGACTACAATCAAAAGAAGTTGGAAAGAGAATCAGTCCAATTGTGACAAAATAATTTACAATACAAACAACAATAAATAAAGCAAAAACAAGAGGTAAGTAATAGTATAGTCGAGAAATCATACCTCCTACATCGATTCACTTCTAATTATTGTTGTTCTTCATTTTCGAATATTGTTGCTTGAGATCGAAATCAACCTGTTAATAAAAAAAAAAAAAAAAGAAAAATATTATAATATCAATTAAAAATGTTCTTGTGCAATTTCTACTATGACATTGTAATAATAAAACCCCAAGTCGTGCTATGATTTTCGAGGCAACAAATCGATATTTTGTATGTCTTTGATTTTTACTTTGTTTATGGAATGAAGTAAAAAGTAAGAAAGCAAACGTGATATGATATTCTTTGTTTAAAAAAAAAAAAAATATCTAGAGGGAAAAAAAAGAAAAAATAAAATAAAATCAAACTACCTAACCTTGGCTTGATTGAAAGTAATGTGAAGATGAATTCATGATTAGACCGGATACTAGTGTGATAAAGCCTCCTCCCACAACTCTCAATAGATAACAACCGCTTTCATTTGCTCTTGAATAAATTATTTGAGAAGTAAGAGATAAGGTACTGGAATTTAAAATAATGACGAGTACAATTCATATTGACGAGAAGTGACTTTACATTACTCGAAGTACAAAAAATATTCTATTTAGCACGAAAGTGATGTTCATGTGTACAGTTAGTCAGGTAATCTTTACTGTATGGTATTATTATATATATATATTTTGTTTCATGGGAATATAAGCATCTTTCCATTTATACATACACTTCCAGAGAAAGATCTAGGAAAAAAATAGGTCCGTTGACATTTTAGAGAGTAAAGTGATCGATTCTATTACTAAAAATATAGTTAAAGTTTGTCTAATCAATCAGGTTATAAAGCTAATCCGCCAAACAATATTTCTATCTTTAAATCTTACATTTACATTCTAAAACTTTACATTCGATATTTACTTATAATGCTTTAATAAATATTAAAGTGATTCTAGCAATAATAGAAAAGTGACTGTCTTGTTTACATAAAAAAAAAATTATATTAAAAAAGACAATATGAAACTAAACATTCACAACGATGATGTTGATTTTAGGGAAGCAACTAGTGATGATGGTTTCAGTATTCAATTGATTACATGACCTCAAAATTCACCGAATTTTAATGTTATTGATTTGGGATGGTTTCGTGCATTTCAAAGTATTCAAGTAGTGTCGGATTCTACACCGTGGATTAATTGATTACTATTCTACGCTTGTAATTTGAAGGATTAACAGTTCAAAAATATTAAAATATAATATTTTAAATAAAAATAAACAAAAATATTATTCCCTCCGTCCTACTTAATTTGTCAAATAATTCTATTTTTGTCTGCCACATAATTTGTCCTTTTTTTTGAAAATGTAATTATACACTTTAATCACACTTTAAAATTCATAATTTATAATTTTTTATTTTAATTAAACTATTTAGTCATCTTAATTTTAATTCATAATTATTTTTATTAAGTCATAATTATTTTTACTAATACACTTCTTAATTACTTACTAATTACACAATACTTAAAACTTCGTGCCTAAGCTAAATAGAACAATTTAATTAGAACGAAAGAGGTATATTACAAAGTATATACTATACAAGACCATCTTCATCAAATACCACACCAATTTTTGGCGTTACTACCGTGCAACCCTAATTTTGGTGTTGCACGGTAGCAATGCCAAAAATTGGCTTTCCTTTTATATATATATAAAAATAATGTAAATTATAAAAATAAAAAGTTATTTAAGATAATATCCTCTCGGTCCCAAGATAATTGACCTATTTCATTAGTATCACAATATTTAAGGAAATAATATTTAATTAATTAATAATATTGAATTATGGTATTATTTTATTATTTAATTAATAATATTGATAGTTTAAAAATAAATATAATATATATTGTTAAAAAAAATTAGAATATATATTTTACATCGCAGTAAAAATATATGCAATATGAATATCATTTTATGGAGAATAAAATTTTCTACAATAGTAAATAAAAAATACTTTTATTTATTTATAATTAACATAAACCAATTTTATAAAAGATATGAAATTTTAAATGTAGATAAAAATATATATATTTTTAAGAGATAGAAATAAATGAGTTTTGAGCAGATGTAACACATGATTTATGATGTTATATAGTATGTAGTTAATTAAGTTGATTTATATTTATTAAATATATTTTAATTCAATACGTTTTACCAAAAATAGAAATGTGTTAATTATTATGAAACAGACGAAAATGGAGAATGTGTTAATTGTTATGTAACAGGTATATCAAATATTCCCTCCGTCCCATTTAAAGGTTACCATCTTCCATTTCTGTTCGTCCCAAAACAAGGTTATTATTTCCTAATTTAGTAATTGTACAATCTACTTAACATAATAAATATCATTTCAACTTACAATATATTACACAAATGTCATTACTTTTATATTACACCGTACTAATATAGATATTTTTATTTTTTTTACTATAATCCAATATAATACTAATATTTAAAAATTTATATGCAAAAAGTAAATGCTACCTTTCCAATAGGACGAAGAGAATATAATATTTAAGGAATATTAGTGAAAATTTTAATTATAATTATAATTGAAATAAAAATATTGTACTCTCTCCGTCCCAGATACCGTGTCTGCTACATTGTAGATGTAATTAGTAGATAATTAAGAATGTATTAGTGAAAATAATTATCCTATAATATAAATAATTATAAATTAAGATTAAGATAACTAATTAGTTTAATTAAAATTAAAAAAAATAATAAAAAATTTAAAATGAGATTAAAGTGTATAATTATTTTCCAAAAAAAAGAAAGTGACATGGTACGTGGGACGAATAGAAACGACAACGTGGACATAATATTTGGGACGGAGAAAGTAATATATATATATATAACAATTGTATTTATAGAGTTAAAATTGCATAACTAAAATCTGACATTACCAAGAGTGTCACATTTGTTAATTGAAGATATAATATTTAGTGTAAATAACTTAGGAGACATACCTTATTATTTTATTTTTAATTTCTAAAACAATAATAGAACACTACCCCACTGGCCATTGTTAAAAGGCACACATTCGTATTTAAAATAATTAACCACTTTAATAAATAATGTATATAATTATAGCAATAATCATCATAATAAGCACGTGCTGAATATGCATCAATTCCCAATTGTCTCTAAGTGGAGGAATTAGAGCACGTGCTACCCAATCAGCTACTCTTTAGTGGATGCGACACTCCTTGAATTCGGTCACATGTCAATTATCCTACTGGAATCTTTCCAGCAAAGCTCAATCCACCGTCGATTTTAAGTGGGTCCAATACATCGACGGCTAATATAAGCTGGACCCCAGCGCCTGGGACCTTCAGGCGAATTTTTAAGGAATGCCGACGTTAGTACACTTTCAAGTGTTTGTCGTGTGCTCTTATTATCATATGGATTTGGTGCAGTGGACCCACCTATCAATTCCTAATAATATTCATTTTTTAAATATGTATTTTTGAATTGATATATATTTTTATTTATTGATTGATTGATTGATTATCTTTTGTATAATTTGAATTTTTTAAACCAATAAAAAATAAGTTGAAGTAAAGATCGAACTTGTTGGTTAAAACCATAGATATCTAAATTGAAGAAAATATGAAATATAATATATATATATATAATTTTTTTACCCAAAATAGAAAATTAGAAAAATTGAATTAATTTGTGAGTCCTATTTATTTTGAAAAGGTCCTATTTCTAAAAAATTATATACATATATATATATATATTTGATTTTGAGGCTGCAAGCACAAAATATGGAGTATTTATTTTTTTAGTAAGTGTGATTTATTTACATATTAAAAATACATTTAAATTTATACTTATTTATTTCAATATTATTATATGATCATGTTATATTTAAATATAAGGACAAAAAAAAATTTACAAAAAAAATACACAAAGATGCAACTACATTGGGTCTTGTAAAAAAGTTGAAAAATTATAAATATATGTGTTTAGTTGAGTTTTTGAATTTTCAGTTTGACTTTTAAAGTGTAAAAAGAATTAAATTTGAATAAATTTATAATACGATGTAAATAAGTATTGATTTAATATTTTAAATATAATATAAAAATAAATATTTAATTTGATATTTTTTTTAAAAAAATTAATAAATAATAATATCACGAGTAAAATCTTCAAACCAAACACACAACTACTCAGGCTACTTTATTTTTTATTTTTACTATGCAGTATTATTTCCCCTATCGGAACATACTCGTTTTTATACAAAAAAAAAAAATTAGAAGATATATGTAAGTCTACATTTTTTTCGGTTGAGTCTAAGAAAAAATTGGTTTAAGTTTGATATTAAAATAATATTTGATGAGATATTTAGTGAAATAAAAATATATACTCCCTTCGTCCCGCAAGAAGAACACCGTTTACTTTTTGCACGTACATTTTTTAATATTAGTACTATATTAGTTTGTAGTAAGAAAAACGAAAATGCCTCTATTAGTATAGTGTGTTATAAAAGTGATGACATTTATGTAATATATTTTAAGTTGTAAAGGTATTTATTATGTTAGTTAGCAGTACAATTACTAAATTATAAAATAGTATCCTTGTTTTTGGGACGGATAAAAATAGAAAATAACATCCTTTTTATGGGACGAAAGAAATATTAAAAATACAGAATCCAACTGGTAAAATTTTGGAAAAATTTGGCAAAAGAAATACGTGCTAAACAAACAGACCCTTGGGAAGTACAAGCTCAGACAATACTGAATAAAACAGAGCACGAGACTTGGTTAGAATTAAAAGCTTTCCAACCATCCTCTTCCTCTGTTCTACAAAAATACTCCTATTATATAATAATAATAATAATAATAATATTTAATTACAAAAAAAAAAAAAAAAAAAAACGACAAACACAGAGAAAGTATTATATGCTCTGAGCGTTCCCGCCATTAGCAGAATCCGAGGAATCTCCATTGTTGAAATCCATAGACATCATCCACTCATCGATTTCGTCTTCTCCGATAGTCAAATCCCATAATTCGGTCGGATTAGTAAAAGTCAAACTGCTCCGATTCGACGGTCCGATTTCCCCGATTTGCGGCGGCGCCGGATTCTGATTCCGCGGAATTGAATTGGCGGCGGAAGAGGCGGTGACGCCGGCGGAGGTGGCAGAGGTGTAATCTGAAAAGGGGAAATTGAGCTTTGCGCGGGGGCCGCGGAATTCGATTGCCGCCCGATCGTAGGCGCGTGCGGCGTCGACGGCGGTCTCGAAGGTTCCGAGCCACACACGCGCCGCCTTACGGGGGTCGCGAATCTCCGCCGCCCATTTCCCCCACGGCCGCTGCCGGACGCCTCTGTAATTCTTCTTCTTCCTCTTTGGCTTCCCGCCGTCCGCCGCCGCCGGAGAAGAATTGGATTTAATTTTGTTGTTCCTATTCTGCTGCTGTTTCTTCTTCTGGTCGCCGTCGAAGAAATTGCAGCCCAAACAGCCCCTAATTTTGCAGTACCGGCAAGTCTCCATATCTCCGGCGACCGGTAAAAATCCGGCGGTGCCGCCGCCAAATAGAAAATTATACTCATCGGTGGCGGCGCCGGAGACGACGTTTTTCAAGGCGGAGACCATGATCGAGAGTTCCTCCTCGGCGGAGAGGCGCGGCGGCGCCGCCTCGGTGGCGGTGGCGGTTGTATTGTCGCCGGGATTGAGTCTTTTGTTTGACCACTGCATGTCTGACTTTGAGTTTCGAAAGGTTTTGTCTGAAAATGAATTGGGTCTAAAATTTGCAAATAAATATTTATATATATATAAGATCAGAGTGCCAGCTGGCAGTCTGGGACGCAAAATTTACACGGAGTAGTTTTACGGTTGCTGTTAAAAAGCGGGGGTTTGTGGCACGTGCGGAATCTTGACGATGACGTGGCAATTCTGGATCGCATAAATTAGATGTGAGCTGGCATAGTGAGTAGTTTTCACACGGGACGGTGCCTGATTTTCCGAAGGTTCTGGGAGTCCTGCTCCTGTTGTTCAGTCGACAAGGGAATGCATCCATCCAGGATCTTTGATCCGGGATCTTTCGTCTGTTAATACAATTGTATTATGCAGAAAACATCCCACCGCATTCATCTTAAAATTTTCATTAATTAAATCTATGTTTATCATATTCTTTTATTGTAATAAAAAATAATATGTTCCTTTTTAAATAAAAAAATTTATATTTATATTTTTATTATATGAAATTATATAATATACTTTTAAAATGTGTGTTATATATTATATTATTATGTGATATCATTTTTATAAGAATTATGTTATTGATTTGAACCAATCTGTAATAATAATAATAATAATAATAATAATAATAATAATAATAATAATAATAATAATAATAATAATTGCGTGACATCAATAATTTGTAATTATATGGTGATCTTCTCAAGTAAAAACAAAATTGGCTTTCCCTGTTCATAATAAAAAATAGTAATAGTAAAATCCAAGTTTAGTTTGACCAATGAAATAGTCAAAGCAGTCTATCTAGATAATTAAATAAATATATATATATATATTATATACATTCCACCAAATTGAATTTTCATATAACTAATTAATAGCATATGTAGGCACGAATAAATTGCGTACCTTGTTTATTACCATGCACGTGTGTTTTGGGGTGTTAGGTTTTGATTTCACCTGTAAATAGTAAAATTTTAATATAAAAATAAATATTAAAATAATATTTTGAATTTAAAATTATTTTTTAAATAATATAAATAAAAAATAAATATTTAATTTTATATTTTTGAAAGAAAATTTAATAAATTATAAATTCCTAAAAAATAAATTGAATGGTAAAAAACACTTGTAATTTGTTGCTATGTTTTTGCACTACCCATCTGCCCGATCTAAACAACCCTGACCCGGTTGATTCCTAACCGATAAAATCAGATCTGTATTGAATATTTGACCAAAATCGTTCCAACCCATTCCTCTCCCTTTCTCTTCATCGATTCCGAAGTCGAGTGAGTTATTCTCCACTTTGGCTTTAATTCAAACTTGGTTATTCCTACTCCACCGCTTCCGCAACAGGTAGGTTTTAGCTTCCCCTAAACTAGAGTAGTCGGCGAACGGCGGCGCGTGAGAGTCACACGCGCCCGACGTGTTTTTCCGGCCGGACGCCTCGCCGGCGAAGACGATGGTGGTGGCGGTGACGGTCGGAAGTGATCGGAGATATGCTATCTGGAATTCGTGGGTTGTTTCGATTTAGTCGGGAAAAAGCATGGCTCTGATACCATGTTAGGATTTATGGAATAAACTTTATTTTCGTTAAAACACAATTAGGGTACAATATTATATTTATATAAGAGATATATTAGGTAGAATATATATATCAATATATATAAAATATATATACTATATATATATCAACGTTTATCCAATTCTTCACCTATATATATATATATAGGGTAAACTGTTTTTTTAGTCGTAACTGGACCCCTTATCATTTTAGTCCCGTAAATGGAGCATGTCGTAAACTAGTCACATAAGTGAAAAATTTTCGTTGTTTTAGTCCTCCGGCGCCGGAGACGCCCGCGTGGCTCGCCGGAGGTGACATGTCCGCCAGGTGATTTTTTATTTATTTTTTAAACTTATTTTTAATTTATTTTTAATTTTATTTGTATTTTTTAATTTTTTTTATTTGATCCAATTAAAAAAAATTTAAAAATGAAAAAAAATTTAAAAAAATGAAAAAAAAAAATCCACGTGTCCGCACCTGACGGACACGTCACCAGCGAAAAATTTTCACTTATGGGACTAGTTTACGACAGGCTCTATTTACGGAACTAAAATAATAAGGGGGTCTAGTTATGAGACTAAAAAAATAGTTTACCAATATATATATATATACACACACACACGGTTGTTTTGGTGTATTCTTTGGGGAAGAAATAGAGAGAAATTGAGATTGAGAGATGGGTCATTATGTAATATCTTGGTGATTGATTCTGTTTTGGGTTTCTTGTTACAATCCTTGTTCGGTTCAGTCCCTTTGTCCAGTTCTGTCCCGACGATCGACTTTGTGTATCAACAATCGACCTTGTGTGGAGCCATTGGGGTGGTGAAGAGAGTAGCTATGATCCGAGCCTACTGATTGATTCTCTATTTTTCTTCTTTATTTCTTTACTTCCTTACTTTTTTACTAATATATATATATTGTTATATGCTAATAGCTTTTCTGTGTGAGAACTTCCGGTGTTTATAGATTAGCCGAAGTTCAATTCGATCGAGAAACACAATAATGGGTTGAGATTGGACATGAGTACAACTAAGTAAAATCAAAATTGGTAACGAAAGACTATCTCTAAATGTTTGTGATTTATATGATAAATCTGTGTGATAATTCTTGATTTAAATCGTGGTGATTAAAACTTGATTTTCTTGTCCTATCTTATTTGATGTATGTAACACTACTATCATATAATTGACTGCTCCAAAAGCGAGTAAATAGCTGATCACTGATAGTTAGTAAATTCTTATTTATTACGTACCAAGCTGCTCCCAAATTGAGTAAGTAGTTGACCACTAATAGTCATTCTATGTGACCGTGTGAAATTTCTTTCAATATACCGTCTGTGTCATCTTTTAATATTGCAAACATTTGATGGAAAAATTGAATTTTTAGATTTGGCAATAAGAAAAAAATAAAAGGACTTTTAGTAAATCAAAAAGTTTCAAAAACAATTGATGGTGATTATAATCCGTTGCTAACTGATGAAAAAAAGATTGAAAAAGATGAATGTGCTTATTCTCTGATTATCTTAAATTTATTTGATTATATGATTAGAAAAATAGGGAAACTTGATTTACAAGAGAGTTGTGGAAAAGATTAGAAGAGTTGTATATGGAAAAATATTTGTCAAACAAATTGTTTTTACTCGAAAAGTTTTTTTCTGATTTAAACTTGATTTGAATCGAAACATTGATAAAAATTTAGATGTTTTCATAAAGTTGGTTCAAGATATAAAACATACAGATGATAAGAATATTGATGAATATACCCTATTATTCTTTTAAATGCGATTCCTGATTCTTATTCAAATGTTAATGCTATCAAATATGACAGAGATAATATTAATTTTGAAATTGTTATGAACGGATTAAAAACAAAGAACTTGACTTGCATGCAGATAAAAGTAATAAGCATGCTACCAATGAAGTGATATTTGCCGGGGATAGGTCACAAGTCAAGAAAAATAATACTAATATTATTTTTTAATTTAAATATATTTTTATCTTTTTATAATTGTAGCAAATGGTGCAAGCTAAATAAAAAATTGAATTGCATATATTATATACTCCCTCCGTCCTTTAACTAATTATTCATTTTTTATTATTATTATTTTGATCTGTTCTATAACAAAATATTCATTTTTTTTAGTAATTGCACAATTACCTAAGATTACACTTACTCTTCCAATTTACAATATATTACACAAATGTCATAACATTTATATTATACAATACTAATAAGATTAGTTTAGTCTTTTTATCTTTATGTTTACTACATTCTAATATAATAATAATATTTTTAAAAATCCATGTACAAAACAAACAGATAGATATGAGACAGAGAGACTATATATATTTATTATTATTATTATTATTATTATTATTATTATTATTATAGTTTTTGATTACAAATGCTTTTGTTAAAATTTTTGAGGAAAAATAATGAGATGATCATATTAATCATCAAAATAAGGAGCCTATATATAAGCAATACAAAAGAGACTCGATAGACTCAAATTTAAGTAATCTAATTTACGAATAAGATCAAATCTAGATATAAATCTACTAAATCTAAAATTGAATATCTAAAATATCTCAACATCCCCCTCAAACTCAAGTGGTATAATAGAAACCAACTTGAGTTTGATGAGAAATTTAAATATAAACGCAAAAAAAAAAAAAAATATAAATAAAATTAGTAGTTGACTCTCCACCCACCGAAACAAAAAACGAGATGACTCTCCACAAGAGCAAAAAACGAGATGACTCAACCGGAGCCGAAAACAATATGACTCCACCGGAGCCGAAAACGACATGACTCCACCGAAGCCAAACACGAGATGACTCTCCACCGGAGCCGAAAACCAGCCGAAAATGAGATGACTCCACCGGAGCCGAAAACGACATAACTCCACCGGAGCCGAAAACGACATAACTCCACCGGAGCCGAAAACGACATGACTCCACTGGAGCCGTCGAAAACGAGATGACTCCACCGGAGCCGAAAACGAGATGATTCTACTTGAGTCGAAAATCACATGACTCCACCGGAGCCAAAAAATCACAACTCCACCGGAGGCGAAAACGAGATGACTCCACCGGAGTCGAAAATAAGATGACTCCACCGGAGTCGAAAAACGAGATGACTCCACCGGAGCCTAAAACGACATGACTCCACTGAAGCCGAAAACGACATGACTCCACCGGAGCCAAAAACAGACAAATTGCAAACATCGGACAGATCAGATCGCACGCAGGCAACAGACAAACAACGGACAGATGGCATATCGCACGCACCAACAGATAGGCAACGACAGATGGCAGATCGCACGTAGCAACAGACAGACAATTGACATATGACAAATCGTTTCAGATCGCTCGCAGGCAACAGACAAGCAGCGAAGATTTCAGATTGCACACAGGAAACAGACAAGCAACGGACAGATGGCATATCGGAGACGAGACGAGACAGATTTGCAAAAAAGCAACTTGCAAAGGCATGATCTCAAAATCACAAGACCTCCGGGTACAATCCAGATTGAATGTACCTAGAGAAATACGGGTTGGTAGGCTATATCTACGGCATGAGGAAAATAGACTCTGATACCATGTTAGAAATTTTGAGGGAAAATAATGAGATAGTCATATTAATCATCAAAATAAGGAGCCTATATATAGACAATACAAAACAGACTCGATAGACTCAAATCTAAGTAATCTAATTTATGAATAGGATCAAATTTAGATATAAATATACTAAATCTAAAATTGAATATCTAAAATATCTCAACAGCTTCAATCATCCAACGACATACCCAATTCTTAATTAAGAGAGATTCAATTTTTTTTGTAACAACATCAAATCAAATAGCACTACTATATGTGACAAGCAAAACTCGAAAACATCGAAAATTTAAATCCATGACATCATGGTCATAAGTCCATACCATACAATTCCTTATGGAACGTTATTATTATTATTATTATTATTATTATTATTATTATTATTATTATTATGCAAAATATCATAAAATCCACCCGTAATTTATGAAAATTGTACGAAATTCTCTATTATCTCAAAATTGCGTGATACTTTCCTATGGTTTAAAAAATCATGCATTTAACTCCCATTCCACAATTAGTTGATGGTGATTGTGATAGACGAACCCTAACTTGAAGGCAATTAAAAAATTCAAGTCACTATTCACTAATAATGAAAATGAGGTTATATATAGAATTCTTGAAACCATAAAAGAGTCTGATGCAATTTTTCTTTAAAAACATAATATTCAATACATAGTTTTTTTATTTGTTTGTTTGTTTGTTTTTTTTTTTTTTTTTTTTTTTTTTTTTTTTTTTTATAACAATTTTAATTAAAAGTACATTAAGCCACCAAAAAATAATACCTAAAATAATTTTAATTTTTTATAGAATTGTTTTTATGGTTGCAATATACAGCTAAGTGCTACCTAGTCCGTTCAATTTATATACACAATTTATTGTATGCGCAATTTACCTCATTGTGTTTTTTCAATTATTTAATAATTTTTCTATAATACATTCATTTTATTTTTACCAATCTCACTTTAATACTATATAAAATATTATTTTTTAATTTTCATACTCAATCAAACCTACTAAATTTAACTTATGAAAATAGTATTATTTTTATTTAAAATATGTTGTAATATTATTATAGGATTAGCCAATAAAAATATTAATTACTTATATCGCTAACCACTATTTTATATTTTGTATTATATTATATATTGTATATAATATATATAAGTAAATATATATATATATATATATAGATGTGTGTGCACGGTAGTGTATTTATGTATGTATATTGTGTGTGTGAGTTGGTATATATATATAATATATAATACTAGATATTTATGGTGCTGTTAATGTAAGTAATTAATGCAAGAGAGAGGGCGAAGACATGCAGTGGTAGAGGGAGAAAGTAAATGGAAGTGAAGTATCGTATCATTCACTCAACTTTTATTTATAGTTGCAATATACAATAGGTAAAATTTTGATTGAATGTAAAAGCATCCACGATTTATCAACGTTAGGTAGATGTGTACTATACGTGTCAATTTCGTAACAAAATCTAATTTTTTATACGAAATTTCAAATTTAAATGTTCTTATTAGAGTCAAAATTGACATTATGCATTTATTTCTTTAATTTTTTAACTACAAAATTTAGTTATAAACTTATATTTTGTTTCTCTAATAAAAAAATATATTTAAAATATTATCCTATATAAATTGAATGCTAATTATATAAATATAGTATCTTTTTTATTATATAAAATTTTATTTTTTATAAAATAATTTTCACATTAATATATTTCATTAAAATATAATTTTTAAAAAATTAAAAAAATATTTTAATTAAATATATTATATTATAATTCAATTTATCATAATAAAAAAATCTCATTATTCAAATAATAAAATTGAACTTTCAATACACTTTGTAACTTCTAATCAAATGCACCCCCACCCTCCTCATATATACATACATATACATATATATATATATATCATGGATTACATGTTAGATCCGTCAAATTAACATATGTTAGTAAAAGATATACAATATTTACGACACATATCATAATATATTATTCTTTCAATTCACTTCATTTGTCAATTATTTCTATTTTCGTATGTCCCACAAAATTTGTCATATTCATCTTGAAAATATAATTACACTTTAATCACATTTTAAAATTTATATATTTTCTTTATTTTAAGTAAATTATTTAATCATCTTAATTTTAATTTATAATTATTTTTAATAGTACATTTTTTAATTACTTATTAATTATTCAATACTTAAAACATCTTGCTTAAATTAAAATGGACAATTTAAATGGGATGAGGGAATATAACATGATATCTTATAACACAACATATATTGTATTATGTAGAAATATATTATTATTTATTTTTATAATATATGTTGATCCAATTAAACCAGCATTATACCAATTCGGTATAGACACACACACATATATATATATATATATGACATTCTCCCTCCGCCCAACTCTAAAAGTCTCATTTACTTTTTGCGTAATTGTACTTAACATTGAAAATATCCTTATATTTGTATAAATATTTGCACAAATGTCATTATAATAGTATTACGATACACTTAAGGGTGTGTTTGTTTGGGGATTAGATTTTAAATATACCGTTCATCCCATTTTTCCCTAAAAAATATTAAATCAAATACCTATTTTTTTATTTTTTATATTACACTAAAAATCAATTTTACATTCAAAACATCACATCAACACTTATTTATATCGTATCATACAATTATTCAACTTAAAAATTTTTACTATTTAAATCTTAACTCAAAATTTAAACTCCAAACAAATAACTCTATTTTTACCATTTTCATTTAATTTGTACTACGCTTTCATATAATAATTAATATTCAAACGTAAACATATAAAAAAATAAATGAAATGGTTAGAGACGATCGAAGATATAATAATAATTATAATAATAATAATAATAATGGTAACGGTGGGGATATGTGGCGAAAGGAGGCGTGGAAAGCATTTAGAAGTATAAATAAATGAATAGAAAATGCAAGGACGATTAAAGGTACCCTTTGACTGCACAGAGCCAAGTCAATGCCTTATTATTTCCAATTCTTATATATATTAATTGCTAATTCCTTCCAGGTTTATTATAGGATTAATAAGCCACGGACACCACACGCCCACAGACCAATTCCAATTTCTCATTCTCTCTCTCTCTCTCTCTCTCTATATATATATATATATGTATATATATAATATTATAGCCACTTCAATCAACCAACCAAGGTCTACATCACATACCAGTATATCACTTACTAAGTCAAACAGGTCACCACCAAATTTATATGGGCTCCGTTGGGTCCATCAAATCTAAATTTATAGCTCCACATATTTTCATCAACACTTATATAACTCAAATTAACTTTTAAACTTCCACATATCACACACACCAAACATGTGCTCATGGGCCTTTTTCAAAAAATAAAATAATATTCATTTTTCATTCACAAACCTAAAATATTAAACCCATAACTAAATCTACTTTTCTAAAAAATATATATATATATTATTATCTTTTTATTTGAAATATAAAGTCGAACCAATATTTGAAAAAAAATTAAAATAAAAAGATAAAACCTCAAACAAACAAATACTATCTAAAAAAAGAAGATCTAAACCCACTTTAAAACATGAGCAAAAATGCTAAATTATATTACAACAACATATGTAGTAGATTGTTACAATATGTTTTCTGATATATCTTGTATTTATATTATATTAACATATACTTTAGTATTATCGATTTATTCTTCGTAATTATATCATCGTACTTGCAATATAACTTCAAATAAATAAACTAATAATAGGAACAAATGCACACAAGATTTTAGACTTGTCCAAACGGTTCAGACCATCGGTTACGGTTTGTCAAAATATCAAAGCGAAACCGAATCTTCCGAATGACGGTTTCGATTACGGTTTCATTTAAGAGGAATTTCTGTTTCTGACTAGTTGTCGTCTTCAGAATCTGTTTTGGGATCGAAAAATGTCGTCTTCAGAATCATTGGAAAATAGGAGAGTGAATAATGAAGAAAACAAAACTTACAGACCCTGACCTGATCGAATATCCTCTCCAACTCTGCCTCGACTTCTAAGCTGTTTTACAATCATTGCACATATAAGCTTCCACCAGTAAACGTGGAAGTGTCGCTAACATTGTACTGAAGGCGTAGTATATTACCATAAAATACGATCGAGGGTGTGGCTGGAGTAATAACTGAGGAAGAGCAAGAAAAAAAATGGGATATTGAAAAGTGATCACGATATAACTTTTTGTAGAAAAATGGTTGGAATAGCTAGATATGGAAACAAACCTCGAAGATCAAACGACCCAAAATGGATAGATGATGAGCCTAAGTATAAGCCACGACAGGGCGAAGAACCCAAAGCACAAGCTTGCTCCAAGCTCACTGCCGGAGTACTTAAAAACCTTTGCAGCTTCCATGAACACGTCGCTGGCATCATGCAGTGCAAGAATAAGAGCTCCAATCCGAAAGAACCTATGAGAAAGCACACCATTAGTCGTTTTTGTTAAAATAATCTAAGAAAACTGGAAAATTGCATTATATTGATCATCCAAATAAAAAAACCTATTTATAGGTAACTTAAAACACACTTGACCGACTCAAATGTAAATCTAAATCTACTCAATTTATAAAACTAAATATCTAAAATATCTCAACATCCCCTCAAACTAACTCAAGTGATACAATAGAAGCCAACTTGCGTTTGATAAGAAAGTTAATACCACAAAAGACGCAAATAAAAATAACGGAACGACCGGAACTCGATTCCGACATCGTCGGGCGAGCGCAGGGGATGTATTCAAACACAGCTCGGAACGACTCGGCGCTGCTGATGGCCGTCACGTTTGTGTTCACGTCGGGGAAGTACGACGGGAGCAGCGTCAGCATGCTCGGAAGAAACCGCGCGTCCGACCGCGTCCGGGAGATGCCGATTGTCGGCGGGAGCAGAGCGTTCGGGATGGCCCGGGGCTATGCACTGGCAAGCACGGCTTGGTTCGATCCCGAGACCGGGAACGCCTGCGTCGAGTACAATGTTAGTGTGGAACATTTCGACGTCTGAGTTCCAAGCCCGTGTTTCGTCGTTCCGTTTCTTGATGTTCCTCGATTTTCTTCGACCTGCTCAAATTTAAACAATAATTCCACTGCAACAACAAAATCAAATGCAACAATCAAGAGACACCAAATCGCGAAACTTACTGATCATTCAAATTCCAACGATATTTGGCACCGAACAAAACAATTACGCTACAACTAAAAGTCACTCGTATATATAAATATTTTCAATTTATAACTACGATTGCTTCGGTTGGAACCTCCAGAATATGCATAAGATTTTAAGTAAAACATAAATCTCGAGAAGCTTCAGCATAACCAAAACTTATTGAGTAGCTTTATCTGCAAGAGGCTTATCTGTCGACAAAGAAGACTTTGCAGACTTCTCCGGAAGTGCAGCAGAGCTCGTTGCATTTTCCTCTTCAATAAGTTGGTGCGGTCTTGCTTGAAGAGTTCGTACACTGTCTTCAGTTCTGCGGAGCTTTCTCCATCTATAGGTCAGCCACAACCCGAACCCTCCATATACTACGATGTAAGAACCCCACACGTAAGGATAAGTTTCGGCCTGTTCTTTGATTCTGCGATAATGCTCGTCTATTTTCCCTCCCCATCCAGCAGTTGCAGAGCTTCTTTCCTGAAGGTTTTCGGCAGTTTGCGGGCTGTCTTCTGCACTCACTTCTTGGTCTTCTATCCCGTCAGTAACTACAAACGCGCCAGATCAGTGCAATGGATGTATCTATTCATCTAAAAAACTAACAAAAATTAATATTTTTTTATATATTTCCATAATTTCTAATAACAAAATTTTAAATATATCTTTATTTTTTATTTTCTGTATAAACAATTAATACTAAACAACTAATTTATCGAATACTCTATTATAAATAATTAATATATTCAGTTAATCAAATCAATTAATCCATTCACTCATTGTTAAGTGTCAAACAGACCGTTAGTCTTAGTTTATTTATTTATTTATTTTTGTCTAATTTGTATTATTATTTATTTATTTATTTTTGTCTAATTTGTATTATTATTTATTTATTTATTTTTGTCTTATCCCCATTTTTGTATTTTATTTAAGATAAGTTACACTAGGCTAATTTATATAACTTAGATCATTAAGATTATTAAATGCAAAATTTAAATATATATATATATATATGAGATGTGTATTTAAAATATATTATATAAAATTTGTATTAAATTAAATAATAATTCTTTTAGTGTAAAAGAGATAAATTTAAGAACCCTCTTCAGAAAAATGAGGGCAAAAAAAATAAACTACCATCGTTCTTTGCTTTTATTTTTCTATTATACAAAGAGAAATGTAGAAAATTAAAATTTGATAATTTATTCATTTTTTTACTATTTAAATTTTATACAAATAAATTATTTTATTTTATAATAAGTTGCATTTAAATTACTATTAGAAAAATCAAAACAAAAATAAAAAATAAAATCGCTAATTAAATATAATAATATTTATTTGTTAAAACATCTCTTATCCGACGTTTTTTCCAATTATTTGGCCAATATACCATTCCTCATAATAGTATTTCTCTATATGAATTCTTTTCGTTTACAAATTCCAGATTCTTAAACTAAGCAGATAAAGAAGACTGTTTAAAAATAGTTTTGGAGGTAATCCGAAAACACAAAATCAAATAGATGCAAAATCAAATCCGAGTCTCGCGGCAATTTTCTTGAAGCGGATTCGGCCCTACACCAATCGCTCCCAGGAAGGATAGAACGAATTATCAGCTGAATACAGATCTCCGGCTCACCGAATAAGAAAATTTTTGGAAAGAAATTTCTTCTGGACATGTTCGGTTAATGTGGGACAAATAATTTAATCTTTAGTCTATTTAATTAAATAGACAACAAAAACAACTGTATCAGTTAGTAGATTCTTGCATTGTGGATGGTGTTTGTACTTTTCCCAACCAAAAAACAAAAAACAGAAATTCGAATCATACTTAGTTAAACAAACACCATTTTTCACAAGAAATAGTTATTTGGAAAACAAATAATAATAATAAAGAACTTACCCGTGGGCATTGATTCTTCCATCTCCAGTTCTCTACTCATCATCTTCCGAGTCTGCACAACCGTTACAATAAATTTGAGCTCATGCATCTAAATAAGCACAAACCTTCGAAAACTCGCAAAACAAAATACGGCCGGGGGATTACCTGATCGAACGTCTTCGCTAACTTTTCCCTGATTGTTCATCTGTTTTACGATCATCGCGCAGATGAGTTTCCACCAGTAAATATGGAAAACAAGAAGCGTCAACAACATCGTATTGAAGCCGTAGTACATCTTCTGATAAAATGGCTCGGCCATGTTTACGACCTTGATGGATTGATAGCTGATGACGAGGCACATAACAATTCAGAGATATTAAATAACCATCTCATCTAAAAGGTTAATCTTAAAGAGATACGTATCATTAATTATTATATTGTCAACTAACACGCCATTTCACCTGCAAAGTGGATTTAAAGAACATATGAATCTTGCATGTGGACAATAACAAATGAGTGTGATTAGACTCGAACATAAGACGTCCTGGATTAAGGTTAAAGAATATGCATCATTAATGGGAAAATTGCAAAAAAAATATCTTACGTGTATACCTCATTATCATTTTTGTCATATATTTATCTTGCTGTCAAAATATATTGTACATGTTTTCAAAAGTCGCAATTTATGTCATTTGGTCGTGCGTGACATGACGTTCACACCACGCGCGGTCACGCGCGGCCAAATGATAGAAATAACGACTTTTGCAAACATGTAAGATATATTTTACCAACGAGATAAATATAAGACAAAAGTGATAATGCGATATAAATGTGAATCTTTTTTGCAAATTTCTCCATCATTAATTATTATATAGTCAACCAACAAGAGTAGAGGTAAGATGAAGAAATCCAAACGATTTTTCCGAAACAAAATAGAAAACATATCTATTTCACATGATCGAAACACTTGTAGAAACAAAAGTAAAACATAGCATGAAATTGTGTGTGCGCTTACCCTGTCTGTCGTATGATCCAAAAGGGGAAATACACCAGCCGTAGTAGAAGCCACGAGAGTGCAAAGAATCCGAAGAACAAGCTTGCTTCAAATTCTCTCTCAGAATATTTGAAAACTTTGGCAGCTTCAAGGAATACATCACTAGCATCATGCAGTGCAAGCAGCATTGTTCCCACCCGGAAAATCCTTTATGCAAATAAAACCGAAATGGGTCGAAAATATTTTCTTGTGAGCTTATTTTAAATATACATAGAAATGAAATGATACGTATCGAATCAGCTATAATATTCGAGTGAAATGGATTTCCTAAATGATAATTAAACAACAAAAGCAGAGTACCTGAGCACATACGAGCCTGCGATAAGTATAAGAGTAATTACATGGTGGGAAATCGAAACAGAGAAGTCCTTCCGCCGTGTTTCCCATGTAATTAGGGCAATTATACTATAGATGTAGAATCCACATTGGCACATATAAATGAGTTTCAATGACAGCCTGAAATAATAGAACAATATAGATTTATATCTATCGAAGATTATGATACTATCTACCAAAAACTGTGCAGAGTTGATACATCGCAAGATGCCGATAGGGAAAGACATCAAATAGATGAAATGCTATATGCATATCTTGTTAGAACACACGACACAAAGAAATTTGTAAATATAAATATATATTGCTTACTTCAAGTTGTGATTAGGCCAATTCCTTGATAGCTCGTTCGTGTCTCTAAAAAACGGTTCGTTGTAAATACTTGCCAAAGTGACGACTTCGATGGTAGCAAAGTAAGTGAATTTCCACATGGATTCTGCACATTTTGTTGCTTTTGCTCTGGCTGCATCATCGATCTTGGCTAAGCTGGTTCCGCCACACAATAGCCATATGGACAGCCTCTGGTTAGATGAATAAATCTATAACATGATTCTGAGTTTATCACAGAAAAGAATTGCAGAATAACAGCAAAGAGGTATAGATACGATGCAGGGGAATAAGAGAATCGACATAAACATGATATGCTTTTTGTTTTTGTTTTTTTACCTATTTCAACTACAACTGCTTAATTGTGTCATCTATGGCTTTGATTTTGAAAACTGATTTCTATCTTTATTAAATGATATTCCCAATTTCAACTCCAAAAGTTCGACTGTTTTTCAATTTCTCAGTCCAAAGGTTTCTTACTTTCTCTGTTTTTCTACTTGCTGTTTTTTCAGCTCACAAACACAAATCCGCCATTAATGCTTCAACCGTTTGACTGTAAATTGATAACAATAATGCTCGTACTATACACATCATATTGATTCGTAGCAGCTAAAATAGAACTGATCGAAGAATCATATGCACACACAGCTTCAATAAAAACGCCTAAAAAAGCTCAATCATCGAATGAATTAACCTTCACGAAACTGAACAGCGCCAAATTAATTCAATTGAATACTCCAACAAAACGAACACATTAGTAAAAGCGTACGCGGAAAACGAAGCTGTCGAGGAAGAATCTGGCGGCGAAGATACCGAAGGCGAAGTAGAAAGCGACGACGAAATGGTCGACGCTGGGGAGATCGCTCTGCTCAAAGATTGAGCGCATTTTAGGCATGAACGAGTCGAGAAAGCCTCCGGCTCCAACAAAGATACCCTCTGAACCACCGCAGTGTAGCGCACGAACAGAAATTCAGGCGAGGCAGCAGAGATTCTGGCAGGCTGCAGAAATGGCGGAGATCCTGGCCTTCCGCCGACGCCATATTTCAATATTTTAATGGAAGAAGCGTGCGGTGTCGCCGTATTTTTGTTTTTTCAATAAATAAGTTAGGCATTCGATATAATCTTAAAATAATTTAATTATTTATTGTAAAAATAAATTATTTATATAATAGTTTCAATAAAAATAAATATTAAGTATATTAAATACTCCTTCCATCCTCAGTAGTATGTCGACATTACTGTAAATAAGTAGATGAGGTAAAATAGAATTAGTAAATAATTAAAAAATATATTAAAAAAATAATTATAAATAATTATATAATTTAATTAACATTAAAATAATTTATTAATTATATAATTTAAAATATAATTAAAATGTATAATTATATCTTAAAAAAATATGACGGAAATAGAAAATATATACATTTTATGTAGAACGAAAGAGAAGTAATAAATAATACTCTTTCATTATATACATAAAAATAAATACAATTTTCGTCATCTAAATTTATATTTATTTGATCTACGGGTTTTAAAAAAAAAATAATTTAAAATAATTTTTTTATATAAAATAATAATTAAAAAAAATATAATATTTTTTTACTAGAAAAAATACTAATATTTTTTTTTATTGAATATAACTTTGGATGATAGAGCTAGCAAGTATACTTATTTGGTTTTTATACAAACTTAATATGATATGTATTTTTGTTATAGTAAAATATTTTTAAAAATTAGAATATTTGAATTTATACTTAAATTTAAAAAATAAATATTTTATTAAAAATTGATAAAAGTAAAAAAATAAATAAATAAATAAATAAAAATAGTTTGAGATATTTTAAAAATTTTAATTAAAAATTAAGGAAAATAAAAATATATATATAATAAATATAGTAATATTTATAATAAATATTGAATAAAAAATAATATTTAATATTAGATTTTTTCATTTTGTGAAAATTAGCAACTAAAAAAGTGAATAAATTGAACCGATAAATGAAATAATTAAGAGAAGGATAATAAAATTAAAAAATAATTGAACAGAATCTCAATATTGGGGCTTGAAAATAAAATAAGATAATATATCCTTGGATAAATCATAAATGCTGTTCACGTGGCTTAGGGCTGTGTTTGTTTTTGGAGCTTTCTTTGTTTCAATGGATAGAATTTGAATTTTGTAATATATTAAAATAAAGTAGAAATAAAGGTGAAAAGATTAAATTAAGATAATGATATTTGTCTAATATATTGTAAATTAAAAAGATATTTGTAATGTTAAGTATATACAATTATTAAAAAATTTTAATCTATGAAATGGACCAGAATGAAAAAATAAATAGATTATTAAAGGGACGAGGGAGAATTTGAGGCATGCATATTAAGAAATAGGATTATATTATGTAGTTAATTATTTGATGAAGTGATATAGCATATTTTCAAATATCTTTATGTAATGAAATGATAAAATAAATGTTAAAATGATGTGTAATATAATAATATGAATACAACTTTTAACATGAACAGTTACAAAGTCAACAAAGTGACTAATGCAATGCATTTTAGAATAGAAAAAAATACAATGCATGAATTGCCCAAATAATTTAAAAGTAAAAGTGGTAAGGGAATAAACATTGGATAACATAAGAAACATTATATCGTAGTAGTTCTCAAAAATTGTATTACCTCGTTAGATTGGTGAGCTATCTCACTTGTGTCAATGTCGAGCAATTGGGATGAAAGTTCATCGTAAGCAACACATTTAACAGATGTTGTTGAGTATCGCAGTTCCACATAGAAGAGGTACTTGCAGAAAATACATATAGTGAGAAATGAACTTTTGAACACGATGTAATTAACACATACGAAAGAGCAGGTAACCTGATTTCGCAAACTTGTTGCACAACGGAAGCATTTGAACTTGTGTTTTTCATGTGTCATGGTGGAGGTGTGACATTTTGCGCATGCCCTATGTGACAGCTTTATTGCTGAACTGATGGTAATTTGGAAGGAAAAATTTAGAAATGAATAGCAATGCAAGTAATAGTAGTTATATTTTACAATGTGCTGATCCTTGTAGATGCAAGCATATGAGAATGGTTGTAGTTTTTCCAACTTCGACCAAACCCAAATGTAAAGACTTTTCATTAAAGTAATCATTTTCCACAACTAGAGCATCCAAGTAGGCCATGTTTTCAAGTTTCCTACAAAACAAAATAGATGACGGAAGTTAATATGGTGTTAGTTTGTAAATGGATGCAATAAACTTTACCATTTCAGCAGATCAGTGCATTCAGGATATGGAGGTTCTACAAAGAAGTTGGCCATTGTACTCACAGATAATGATATACCTATATATTTTTTAGGAATAAAAAGATTCAGCTGCTAAAACTGGTTGCATATATTAATATCGATAATGCGTAAAGGTATACATATATTTTGGGGATGAAGATTTGTAGTAATTACCATTGAAATGTCAGGGGCGAATCTTGAGTGCTGCAATTATTGGCCGGCTATTCATAACTGCGGTGAAAATTTTGCCTTTAATATTTACAACATCATTCCACAATGTTATTGTTATAGATGTTTTTCTGGAATTAAAAGAAAGAAAGAGTCAATCCACATTGTGAATAGGTTCTTTGCTCGTGTAAATTATTGGTTCTTTCCTCGTGTAAATAGGTGAAATATTAGCCAATGTTTTTGTTTCTCAATCATAATTTGCAATGAGCTAATGTCAATCCACATTGTGATTAATTGCTTCAATACAGAAAGATCGACAACGGGAGCTACATACCGACCACTTGGGAAGTCTCGTTTAAACTAAAAAATATAGCTACAAATGGAAGTTACACTCTCCGACTAGCATTGGCAGCTGCAACCGTTGCTCATATACAAGCATGCATTGCCTGTTTACAAAAGTATTTTTAGAACTTTTGATATTATTTCTCTACAATAATTTTTTCAAAAAAAAATATTATATCAAATATACATTTTTTTCTAAAAAAACATCATAACAAATTTCAATAGTTACTCTCAAGATTTTTCAAAACATCTTGATCCAAAATATACAAATTCTAAGTTCTAACCTTACAAGCAAGCAATATTTTTGTCATGTTTAGTACATTTAAGCTTCTAATCTTTTAACCTTAAAGCAACAATTATGTTCTTATTCTAGGTACGAATCAACAACCCGAATGTCGTCCGGCCCCATTTTTGGACAGGAAAAATAGGTACGGATAATGCGATATCAAGACATGTCATTCGTTGAGAATATTGGTTGTTCAATATTAATATATGCGGATGCCGGCTCATCAATGGAGAAAATAAATTATATCTATCGCAAGTGAAAACTGACTACAGCCCTTTCAATGAAATTCTCTATGACTATATTCGTTTCGAATGACCATCGGAAGGTTAACGATTAGGCATTGTCCAATTTGGTTTTTCATTTTTCACCATTCTTTTACATCAATTTACTTCAATGTTAGGCATTAGTTTTCATGTCATTATACTCTTTACATAGAAAACTTCTAAAACATATGAGTTGATGAATAACAATGTATTATACTAAAATGACATTCATGAGAAATAAAAATAGTTAGAAAATAGTGTTTAAGGCATTAGATTCGTGGACGGATATAGGTGGGGACTTGGGTCAACCAAGCCCCCCAAGTTTTCTTTTTTAGTTTAAAATAAATAAAATTTGTATAAATATATTATTTTGCCTTCCAAATAATTTAAACTTATTATTTTGTCTTTCTTTAAATTTAAATTTATTATATATTTTATTTATTTTCAATTTAATTTATATTAATATAATAATTTTAATTATATTTTATTTATATAAAAATATAATTTTTTTATGCTAAATATAATTACAGATATTTCATTGCATTATCTTTTAGCATCGAGAAAAATTGAAGAAAATAAAATTGAAGTGGTATATAAGACAACCTGGCCGACATGTTTTTATAAATTTTTAAAATTTTCATAAAAAAAATAAAAATTAAACTATTTATTTGAATAAAAAAGAATTGACAATTCACGGTTTGAAATACATTAAAATCAAATTTGAACCATAAAAATTCAATACTTACCGGACAACTCCGCCCCCCTAACTTCGAAAGCTAATTTCGTCCCTGATTAGATTCCATAATAGGTCTTACAACTCTAGCACAATACACCCTTAAAGCTATTCCTTTTCATGTAGTCGAAAAATGTTCTATTTTGAGCATAGAATGACAATAATTATGGTCTAACAATGTATGACAACAAAAAATAAATGAAGGTACTAGGGTCGAGGATAGTTAGAGTCTTGATTACGGCTAATCGGCATAACATGGCTTAAACTAATACTAGGCTAATCAGCATAACGTGGCTTAAATTAATACTACATATGTAGTATAAATTATTAGCATGTATTGCCTATGTTGAGATCAATTCTACTCCCTCCTCCGTCCCACATAATTTGTCTCTATTTTCTAATTTCGTCCGTCCCACGTAATTTATCCATTCTTTTTTTGGAAATATAATTATACACTTTAATCTCATTTTAAATTTTATAATTTTTTTAATTTTAATTAAACTATTTAGTTATGTTAATCTTAATTCATAATTATTTTTATTATAAGATAATTATTTTTACTAATACACTTCTTAATTACTTACTAATCATACTTTACCTAAATTCTCGTGTCTACACTAATAGGCCCATAATACCTGAGACAGGAAATAATATATACCCATAATACATGAGACGGAGGGAATAATATATATTGCATTTCCTATTATTATGCGATGTCACTCCACGTACTATATTTATACTATGTTAACATATATTTTATGTGACGTGAACATGCAATAACAAATTCTCGACCAAAATTTGTGTGTTATGTGGATTTTAACACATTTTATTATTATAATTTTTAAAAAAAAATATCAAGTCAAATAATTATCTTTTTTATTATTATTTATATTATACAACAAATCGAGACACAAACTCAAACCCCAAACAAACAAGCCAGGATCCAAATCCAACCAAAATATAAAACCCGCAAACTTAATTTTCAACCCAAAACTCTAAATTTGAGCACAATTTTTCGGATCAAATTGATTGCATTCCATGTTTACTAAATAACCAAACGAACACTACACGAGATCTTAATAAATGAAAACTAACACGAACTTTCGATAAACAATAGAAGAAACAAGAACGTCCACAAAAGTGCCGTCGCAAAAGTAAATGATGTTTATCCAAACTACATATTTGAATGCTTAGATTCACAGCAATGATAAAAAAATACCGTTACAAAAACTGTTGCAATTAAATTGAACACGATGATCCACTCTTTTCAGGCGCAAAGGCAAAATAGGGGGTTGTAATGTATTACAGGATCTGGGCAGCTGTGTTCAGCTTTTCGGCTACACTGAGTTGTGTCCTCGTAATGCTCGATAAATAAACTAACAAGAGTTGGTCCTGCAAGAACAAAAGTCGAAAGTGAGAAACATTCGAAGCGACTAAAACTTGCCCAAAATCATGACATGGGTATAACTAGCTAACACTGGAACTTTCATGTGTAGTTATATCAATATTATAGTTCAAGAATATCGTGTGATTCTATCCCATACTCCTATCTCGTGGCGGTCCAAGTGATATATATGAGAGAAATTAGGAGATGTTTATAGAAAGAATGGGACGGTCGATATGTTTAACCAAATTTTAATTAAAAAAAAACCCAACAGTATGCTTAATATAAGTTGAGTATAAGATGCTAAAGTTGAAATATGAGTACTCATGTCATAAGAAAATGAAAAACTGAGGTAAATTGGAAAATAACAAATAACTGGATAACAACAAAATGCAAGCACGGACAAGATAAAAGAAGGCAATGGGAGTAGCAACAAGACACTGAAGACAGTAGATGTTAACATATTTTGTTTTGGTTTCTTACCATTCAATCTCTATATTTCCAGTTAAAATATAGGTTTTCCCCAAAGAAATTACATTAAACCATTATTTAGACATAAACTCAAATCTACAACCCAGAAGAAGAAGAAGAAAAAACACACATGGTGGCTAAGAACCAAAGAAAAGCTCCTTAAAAAAAATGTTTCTTAAATTTTCCTCGATTAAAAAGGCCAAAAATGTTGAGAAGATACCCAAGGAGAAGGAACTCAGAAGGTATACACCTCTATATCTACTATAGTAAATACGGTGCCGAAAGTTCTAGTTTTACTTTTCACTCAATTAGCCTTCCACTTCTACTTCACTTCTCAAATGAAGTAAAAGTTTCACCATAATAGAATAACTCGGTGCAGTTGAATGAAGAACACATACCTGAAGGCTATCATTAACTAGCCTGTCAAAAGCATTTGGTGACAATTTCGGAAGGGAAGCTACAGTATCGGATAGTAACCTTCCAACTTTATTGTCAGGTTCCTTTCTCCCTTCCTAAAATGAATAAAGGAGAAATCAAAATGCAAATTATGTGCGATAGAAAACCATAGTACACAAGCGTGTTAGAAACTAACTCACCACAACATCATCAACATATTTGTACATATCATCTATCAAAGTAAGCAACCTTTCCATTGAGGACTCCATCCCCTCGAGATCATTTGGAAGCTTGTCAACATTTGTTGGCTTAAGAACATCAACTGAGCACACACAGAAAAACAAAACCAGTGAGATGTTTTTTCAGAAATCTAAGGAATTTTGTCGAGGAAGCAACAGAGCACATCTATGCAAACAGAGTAAGATTGAATCTAATGGAAGTCAGAACCTTAAAGATGCATAATGTACCAGAAATTAGATAATTCACATGTTATATTACAAGCGAGCAATATACCATGTCTACAAAAGGATCTATCAACTTTTCAAAATCAGATTTGTGAACAATCTTTCCTACACAACGTGTATCCAAGGAATGTTCAACATTCCTTGGAGAAAGCTGAACCATATACTAACATTTTGAATTCAACATTCCGATAAAAAAAAAAGGAATGTTAAAAATAATCAACATTTTGAAATTGAGTTTACTAAGCTGAACCAACGAAAACAACAGTTAGTATAATTCTTTAAGTAGAAAACATACTTGCAAAGCAGAATAGACAAGTAACACATACAAGCTGACACGTCATTTTGTCTCAAATAAGTAGTGCACCCCTACCTACATATTTTGACCCAACCATTATGCATAGTTATGGAGACGGATTCTCATAAACACGAGATAAACATAACGTGTGTACATTAATAAGAAATAAACTGGTGAATTAACAATAAACCATTTATAAGTTGCACATGTCTTGCTAATAACAAATTCAGAAAAAACATACATCCAATACGCTCTGCCTCAACCATACGTAGATCCAATGGAATCTCTTGAAACTGTGCAGCAAGCTGTATCTCCCCAAGGGACAGATTAGTTGAGACAAATGCCTTTATTGAGGCATTTCCTCTTCTAAATTCAGTGTCAACAGTCAAATGAATAGGGTTGGTAACTTCTCTAGCGTAAAATTCATGGATTAGAGCACTGCCACTGGTGATCCCACCAGTTGAAAACCTATCAACATAATACTCCATTATAATCTAATCAACAACACAGCAGAGAAAAGAAACTAATGGAATTACTTTAACAATGCAAATAACAATTATCATAAGTCAGTAAGTCATCAAGAAAGTCACCATGCAAAAATCACTATTAAATAAGTATACACACAAAGATGTAAATGGCCAAAACAATATATTTTCAGGAATCTGAAATGAATAAGTATTACGACTGGTAAAAGAACATAAAGCACGGGACTACTGAGCATTGTCAGTGAACTATATAGCATCTTCATCTTAAAGCCTGCAAATGATTTAAAATCATGATGCATGGATACCTATGAAAGCAGATGGAGAAGCTTGATATCTAAAATGAGTTTAAAACTTGTGAAGTAAACATTAACATAGGAATATTGTCTATTCACAACATCTTAATTTGAAGAGAGCAGATTTACACTTGAAAGGTTGATTTTAATGAATCAAGCCCAAACTAGAATGTTGATGCAAAGACCATAAATTCACCATCATGACTTGATACAAAGCAATAACAAACAACAAAACTATCAAACAATACTAATAATAATAATAATAATAATAATAATAATAATAATAATAATAATAATAAAATTACCATCCCACAATGACTTCCTTCGGGTTAACCTTCTGATGAGACGACAGCATATTGTGGTGATAATCAATATCCAACGCAACCTATATTCATATTAAATTTAAAAGGTGAATTCCCCACAAAAGATATGCAATTTTCACTCTTGAGAGAATTGCCGCATGAAATTCAATATACTTTTATAAAAACAAGTAAACTAAAAGAAAATTACAGACGCCCAATCCATACCATAAGGTAAGCACGTATCTTCAGCTACTGAAAATACTATTAATTTGAAATTTCATTGCAGGAATTTCATACAAGAACAAATGGCAGCAAACCAGCAATTAATACCGTAGTAAACATTTACATACAAATAGAAATCAAAAGGCCTTCCGTAACCTGATCCGAAGACTCGTTGTGGGGAACGGCATAAGAGTTCCGAATGTCAACAGTGCCATCAGGTAAAACCGATCCTAGAAGCGTGCCAATAACGCGCTCCGCTTGGTCCGGCCGCCTCACATAACAATCACAGATATTGAATATTACCAGTGGATGAACCCTCGCAGTTACGCTCGTCGGCAACGGAACGAACTGCAGCGTTTGCTCGCTGGAACCCATTTTCACTGACGTTCAGCGCGGAGGAGATCGGAGAGCAGATTTAGGTTTTCTTTGTACGAAGGTGAATTTCAACGACGAATTGGGGAAAGAACTTGGGTTATATATATATAGTAAATGGGCCTGTGGTTATGTACAGCCCAAATCATATTAGGCCCATTAGATTTTCCTCGGAATTCATTATTTATTAAATATTTTAAATATATATCAAATTAAATTTTAATTTTTTATTTTGTATATTATATTAAAATTAATTTATATTAAAACAATCACATCGATAATTATTCATATCAATTCTACAAATATTCAAATTCAGATTTTCTTTTATCATACTTTGCATATTTATTTTTTTATATATTGTTTAATTTTTTTTTTCAAACCGATGATAAAAGAAAAAATATGATAAGAAGATCGATATTTTTTTTCATTGACAGATATGGTTTATTTCAAAATTTATTGTAAATTTTTATTTAATAAGATTGTAAGTAATTATTTTAAATTTAACTGAGATTTGAATTTAAAATTGTATATACGCTTTTTATTTAATTCATAATTTACTTATTTGCTTATTTTTCTTTTTGATACTATATATATTATTAAGTATATTATTTGAATATTGTGTTCAACTGTAGGCTAAATATAATAATTTCTCTTATTTTTTATTGATAGGTACAAACTTTTTTAAAATTTATTTTTATTTTTAATTTAAAAATGATTATAAAGATTTTTTTTTTTTTATTTCTACTATGTTTGAGTATAAATTAAAATATATATTTATGAAATTTGATTCTCTTATTTAATATTTTTTATTTTGTTAAGTTACCGTATTTTTTATTTATAATTTATTTTTTATATAAATTAATTTATGCTATTTTCATACAAAGGCTAGTTATTATATATATATATGTGAACGTTAAGATAGACAAATATATACTCAATTAGAATATATAAATATATTATACTCCCTCCGTCCCATGTAATATGAGTGTATTACTGTAGACATGAGAATTTAGGTAAAGTATAATTAGTAAGTAATTAAGAAGTGTATTAGTAAAATAATTATTATTTAGTAAAAATAATTATAGATTAAGATAAAGATAAGTAAACAATTTAATTAAAATTATAAAATTTAAAATGCGATTAAAATGTATAATTATATTTTCAAAAATAGAAAAGACAAGTTATGTGGGACGGATGAAAATAGAAAATAGGGACAAATTATGTGAGACGGAGGGAGTAATATTTAAATATCCCTTGTTATAATTCATAAACTAAATACTTATAATTGTAATTTTATTTTCTATTTCATAATAAAAGAAACGTTCCAATCTCTATTTCTCTCTTTGAAATTTATTTTACCCAGTGATTCTTAACTATTATTTTCTACTTCTTTGCACTTATGGAAATAAATTTCTTGTTCTTTTATCTATAATATGGTAATTTTTTAATGTTATTGTTGTGCAGTGAAATTTGATCTTTTTCGTGTAAATTTTGGTTTTTTATAATATAAATATGTGCTAAATTAAGAATGTCCTATTTTTAATATAAGGTTAAACAGATTTTTTTGTCTCATATATGACACTTTTATCATTTTATGATTTTAAAAAATAAGTATATGTGCTCAAATATTGTTGCCTAATTAGCATGAATGGAGAGAGTAATATTTTCTATTAATTTTCAATACTCCCTTCGTCCCGGAACTAAGTATTCATTTGCTTTTTGCACATAGTTTTAGAAATATTAGTATTCATTTCCCTAATTGTAATATATTGTAAGTTGTAAGGGTATTTGTAGTGTTAGGTAGATAGTACAGTTACTATGGATACTTTGTTATGGAACTGACTAAAATAAAAAAAATGAATACTTTGTTATGGGACGGAGGGAGTATAACAAATACTTATGGTGTGTGTGTGTTTTTTTTTTTTTTTTGCAAAACTTTTTAAAATTTTACTATTTTGATTTGATTTTTCTAAAGAAATAATCTCTCTATCTCTAAACACTAGTCCGTTTGAAAAGAATAATGATACTATTTTGAATTAAAGTGAGTATAAAATAAATAGTAAAAAGACTAAAATATCTTTGTACGATGTATTTGTATAAAAAATAATAATATTTATATAATAAAAAAATATAAATAATTTTATAGTAATATGACTATTTTCTGAATAAAAATGAAAAAATAATATTATTATTTTGAACAAAGAGAATATATATTTTTCTGCTAATAAAATATTCAATAAAATATTATTTTAATATCAAATTTAAATTAATTTATTTTTTCAAATTTATTTAAAAGAAACATACCTAATCACTTCATTTGATTTTGCTCCAGGCCCAATAAATATCATGGGCCTCACGGTTGACCCTTTGTTTTAAGATTTTAGGCCTATATATATATATATATATGTATATATATACTCTATTTTCCCTAATCGTAGGAGTGTTTTGGGTACAGTATATTAAAAAGTAATAATATTTTATTAGTCGAAGTACGTAAGAATTTTTTATATTTTTTATATTTTATTTTATATATAAAGTAATTATATATGTAATAGTAAATTTGTAATTTAAGTAAAATTAAAATTATTTTAATATTAATATATGATTATTTTTTAAAAAAATAATACTTTGAAGTGATATATATTATTAATACTCCCTCCGTCCCATAACAAAGTATTAATTTTTCCATTTTAGTATGTCTGTAACAAAGTATTTATTTCCTTTTTTAGTAACTATACTATCTGCTTAACATTAAAAATATTCTTACAACTTACAATATATTACACAAATGTCATTACATTTATATCACACATACTAATAATGTTATTTTAGTTATTTTTACTTTATTTCTACTATATTCAAATATAATAAAAATATTCTTAAAACTACGTGTAAAAGGCAAATAAATATTTAATTATAAGACGGAGGAAGCATATATTTTATGTTAAAATAAATTCTTACATGTATGATTATTATTATTATTACTATTATTATATTGTGTGAACTTGGTATTGGCCCTCAATACTTCCGATGATTATAGTTAATCTGATGAATTTAAATCACTATAAGAGTGATCATTTACTTCCTCTGTATATTATTATTCGTCTCATCGGCTCTAAAAATCTCATTTACTTTTTGTATCATTATACTTAATATTAAAAATATATTTATATTTGTATAATTTTGTGCATAAATATCGTTATAATAGTATTATAAGAAGTTAATAAAAGTATTTTTTTTTCATTTTTCCTTGTTTTGTACTTTATTTTTATATAATAATTAATATTCAAATATCAACACGTATAAAATAAATAAAATCTTTAGAGTCGGAAGAAAGTAATATTTATTTAGCTCAGGGGGAACTAGACACAACAAACATAATAAATAATATATTTACATTAAATATTATTCTCATATAAATAATATATATATATATATAATATACAATGTGCATATCTTAATACTTGAACATAGAATAAGCCCTTGGAACCAATCAAAGTCACCAAGTCCTTTGTAGTAATTAATACTAATAATAATAATAACATAATTAATTAAATAAAATGGCAAAAAAAATTAATTATTGTCTTCGGGCTCTCTCCAAAATCGGGCCGGGAGCCCGTTCTGTGGAATTGGAAATGGGCTGTACTGTATCTCGTTTTGCGGGCCCACAACTTCCCACCTACACGCCACAAAAATAATTATTATTCATATTTTAAATTTATAATCAATAAATTTTTTAATTTTAATTAAATTAATTAATTATCTTAAATTATAATTATTTATTTATATATTTTTTAATTATATTTTAACTAAATTTTCGTAACTATAATAAACTAAACATAAAAAGTAAGACAAAATGAGCAGTAAATACTACTCTTTCCATCCCACGACACACTAACACTAGTGACATAAAAATTAAAAAATAACATAATTAATAAATAATTAAATATATTAATAAAAATAATTATAATTCAATATAAAATAATTATAAATTAAAATTAAATAATTAATTAATCTAATTAAAATTAAAAAAAATTATAAATTCAATTTATATAATTTATTAAAAATAGAAGTACATCGATTGTTGTAGAACAAACTAAAACAAAAATATATATAAACTATTATAGGACATTGGGGGAGTACTTAATATAATTGAAATAAAGTAATTTTATAGGATAATATAAATAAGTATTTTAGTTATTATTAGAGCATCCGTTATAGTTATTATTTTTATCCAATTATTATTATTTTTATCTCTTTTATCCAAGTCATATTCATTTCAACATTCAAATTATTTCATTATCACTAATTACAGTAAATCACTTCCAATACATTATTTTTACTATTTTATAAATTTACAATAATTTATTTATTTTGATATATTTTTATTTATTTATAAATATTTCTATATATTTTTACATCCTAATAATAATTTTATATAATATTATATTTTAATTTTTAAATATTAATTTATATAATTTTTAATGATTAACTATGAAAAGACGGAGAATTAGTAATGAAATTTAAATATATTATAGATAATTTACGTTAGATTCAAATTTTAAAATTTTAAAAAAATTTAGATTGTTTTAAATTTGTTTTTTTTTTTAATTGAAAGTAATATGTTCTTGATAAATGTAATTAATTTTAAGAACTATATTTCTTATTAAAGTGTAATAAGTTTTGTTAGTAAAAAATAAAAAGACAATGATAAAGGTGATGAAAAAGTGATAAGTAACAAATGCTTTTATTATTTTTATTATTTTTATTATTATTATTATTATTATTCCATCCCTCTGTCGTATAACGAAGTATTCATTTTTTCATTTTAGTCTGTCTCATAATAAAGTATCAATTTTTTTTTTTTAGTAATTGTGCTATCTACCTAACATTACAAATAGCCTTACAACTTACAATATATTATACAAATATCATTATTTTTATATCACACCATATTAATAAGATCATTTTAGTTATTTCTATTTTATTTATACTGTATTCTAATATAATACTAATATTTTTAAAATTTTTTATAAAAAATAAATAAATAATTAATTATGGACCGGAGGAGCGAGTATTATTATTAGAAAAGCATACCTCATTTTATTTAGTAGATGGTGGATGAAAATGAGAATCTCAAGTTTGGCAAGTTCATTGCCCGGACAAGAATGGGCCCCACTGCCAAATGGCATAAATGTATTGGCCCGAGGAGCTACCTGCACGCCACCGCCACACAATTTTAATCAAACCACCACCTCAAAATAATAATAAAAAAAAATCTAATTCATTTTCTAGAAAGATATAATAGAAAATATTATATATATAAAATAATAATAATAATAATAAAATATTGAAATAAAAAAAACAATTTTTTCCCACCTCAAATCTGTAAGGATTAAAGTTTTCAGGTTCACTGAAATATTCTGGATTGTGGTGAATATTTCTGAACAGTGGCATAACTTTCCACCCCTTTGGAATATGAAAACCTTAGGAAAAATAAATAAATAAATAATAATAAAAATTAGAATAATATTAATTTAAATTTAAATAAAATTGATTCAATTTAAAAAATAATTTATAAATTATTTACCATTATATTCAACATCCACAACAGCTTCTCTAAATGTAAATGACACAATGCTGGCCATTCTTAAGCTCTCTAAAATGACCTGCACCCATTTTAATAAAAATAATTTCATATTTAAATAATTTTTATTGAAATATTAAAGATGTAAAAAATAAAAAATAAATTAAAAATTATTATAAAAATGTACCTTATAAGTTAGTGGCATGTTTTTGGTCTGTGTCCATGTTAGATTCTTTCTTCCTCTGTCATTCCACAAATAGATTTCTTTCTGTTCTTCCTGTAATTATTAATAACAACAATACATTTTCTTCATTTATATATAGTTAATTTTAATTAATTATTTATTTATTTATTTTGGTCAGTTTTGTGATTCATAATAAAATTATATTTATTTTTTTTATATAAAATATAATATTCAACCACTATTTTATTTAAGAATTAAATACAAAAGCAAAAAAAGAACGCTCCAATATTATACTATGTTTGAAATATACTCCATCCGTCCCACATATCATGTCCACGTTGCCGTTTCTATTCGTCCCACATTCTATGTCACTTTCCTTTTTTTTTTTCGGAAAATGATTATACACTTTAATCTCATTTTAAACTTTTTAATTTATTTTTTTTAATTTTAATTAAACTAATTAGTTATCTTAATCTTAATTTATAATTATTTATATTATAAGATAATTATTTTCACTGATACATTCTTAATTATCTACTAATTAAACCCTTCATAAAATACAGTATCTACAGTGTAGCATGTGGGACGGAGGGAGTAATATTTATGATGATAAAAGATGAAAACTTATTTGTAATTAAAGAAAAGTCCCAAAAAAATTTTATATCCTAAAAATTGTAAATTAAAAATACTAAAAACATTCCAAAATACCAATACACAAAAATGCATCTTGGAAATTTCTAGAAGAATTATTATTTTAATTTGCTAAAAAAATGTTACTTTATTAGATGTCCGTTTCAAATTATTGCTATAATAAATTATTATTATTATTATTATTATTATTATTATTATTATTATTATTATTGAGTTTTTAAAAATGAACCGATTTATATATATGATTATATATATCTTAGATAATATGAGTAGAAAATGGTAAATAATAATTCATATGTCTCAAATCATTTGCTATATTTATTTTTGACACAGTTTGTTAGATAATGACATAATTTCAATAAAACATTTGGCCATTTGGTCCTTATTTTTTTATATTGAAATTATTTTTATAAATTATATTTAAAATGATAAAAGTAAAAAAAAAAAAAAACTAAAAAATGTAAAAATTTCAAAACATCGAAGATTAAAAATAATAGCAAAGATAAAAAATAAAAATTGAAAGAGTAATAGTAATAATGAAAATAAAAATTATTTACTTTGACAGCTTCGAGAAGCTTGGGATGATCGTGAAGATATTTGAGGATCCAAGTTATCGCAGCCGCGGTTGTGTCTTGAGCCGCAAACAACACTCCGATGATGTTGTCCGAAATTTGGTCATCGGATAGTGTCACTCCTCGGACATCTTTAAACTCAATAAGTTGCCCTAATAGAAGATTCTTCTCTTCTAACATTTTCTTCCTTTCGCAAATAATTTCTCGAAGAATCTCATTTAACCGCTTTCTTGCCTTCAATTAAAGACATATCATTAGTTAGATCGAATATTACATGAAAAACAAGAAATGTATGTTAAAAAATGTATCGAAAAAGATTGTCTTTATTTCTTACTTGCAAGGCTTTGTAATAAGGGGTTCCAATTAGATTTGTAGGGAAGGAATTGTAACCCTTATCGACAATGACATAATTTTTGTGCAACTCGTCTTTTCTTTCCTTCTCCAATTGTCCGAAAATAGCTAAAATCCCCACCTCAAAGGACAACTACTCACGTACAATAAAATCTCGTGAGAAAAAAATATTAATAATAAAATAGATAAAATTATTTATAATCCACATATGGTTTGGAAAGTCGGCATCATACTTCTCTGTGATTCAGAAATTGCACAAGATTTTTTTATATTTTAAAAAATATTGCACAAAATCTCTTAGAAATGATATGAAACTCTCTTTTATTTATTAGTAAAATATTGCACAGAATTTCCTAAAAAGAAGATTTTGTGCAATGCTTCGAAAGCGCAAGAGAGTTTTATATAATTTTAATTGAATCATAAGGTCGGATAGTGCAAACTTTTTAAACCACAAATATGCAATAAGTTATTTTGTCAATAAAATGAGAAGCTCTTTACAAGACTAGTTCTGAGCTAGTTTTTGAACCGTAAAAAAATGAATTAAACAATTGATGTTGGATATAATATCTTGAATAAAAAGTAAGTTTTTTTTTTTTTTTTTTTTTTTTTTTTTGTAAAAGATTAAAAAAAATTGTTGATGAATAATGCGAAATCAAATTTGGAAATATAAGTAAACAGATGGATTTCATACCCTTTTCATCTCCCGGAATGTGTTGATAACTTGCCCATCTACCCAAGAATCCAAGATCGAGATACATATGGACTCGATTTTAGGAATCAATTTCTTAATCATCTTTGGAGAAAACGAGGTTTGTACGAGTTTTTTCAAGTTGCTATGGTATTCGCCTTGGTGGAAGAATAGAGCCATTGGGCCGATCATCTTTTCTTTGCTTTTGGGATACGTAGGCTTGAAAAGATCGGCATTTGTTGCTAAGATGAACTTCGATGCTTCGGGACTAGCGAGCATCACACAAGGGCATCCTAGAATGTTTGTCTTAAATATATCTCCATATCTACATTAATAAATTTAAAAAAAACATATTATAGCAAAATAATGTATTTATATGACTATTACTTACTCTTTTTCATTAATTTATAAAAATAATATATATAGAAAAATAACAAAATAAAATTGTATATAGATAAAAAAAAAAAAAAAAACTCATATTTGACAATTTAAAATCATTATCACCTCAATAAAGATCGATAATTTGAAATTCATTATATAATATACATATAGAGTGAAATATAATTTTTCTTTTTTTTTTTTTTAAAAAAAAAAGGAGATATTGATAGAAATTTATGCGTTTATAAGAATAGAACTAACTCACCTCTTTTGCTTGTCGGAGAAGAAGGTGTCGGGATCCTTGGAGTACAATTGAAGTGTCTCGCCGACATATGGCCAACCCATTGTGCCCGGGGGCAAGTTTGGCGTATGTTTGCGATTCTTGATTCGTTTTTTCGATACGTGATAGAAGACAAGAGTGGAGAGACATAATAGGATGTAGAGAATGGTTGTTGAGAAGATCTTGTCCATCAACAGATTAAAATTGGAGGAAATGTTTTGGTTTGGTTAAGGTTGTAAGAAAGAAAAGTTTGTGTTTGTGTTTGTAAAATAGCTAATGTTGGAAAAAAGAATGGAGAGGATTGGTTTGCTTTTATAGAAGAAAAAATGAGATAGAAAGAGAATCTCTCTCACTATTCCTCTCTCTCTAAATTGTGGATGTGAAAGGAGTATGGAGAGTAGCGTAGAAATGAAAATTTGTGACAAATTCGATCCAAAAATAATCGTCAAAACTAGAAATCACTATATCATATCAATTCGACCAATAAAAAGTGTGTTTGTTTGTAAGATTTTGTTAAAATTCTACTATTCATCCAAAAAATTTCTCACTAAAAACATCAAATCAAACACCTATTTTTTATTTTTTATATTATACTAAAAATCAATTTTACATTCAAAACATCGCATCAACACCTATTTATATCACATCATACAACTATTCAAATTCAAAATTTTTACTATTCAAATCCCAACTCAAAATCCAAATCCCCAAACACACACACCAAACCCTAATTTTAGAGTTTGTTCTTCCAATTTTTTTTTTCTCATTTTTCCAAAAAAATTAATACAATACACACATTCATTGTTATTATTATATTCCATACACAGTTTCTATCCCTTACATAAAAAACTTTTATTTCCTAACATTCTCACAAAACAAATAGGGTTTGTTAGGTTTGTAATTTGTGTTAACATAATTTTAGTTTATATATTTTATGGAATAACATAATATAGTTCATCACATCTTAATTGACATAAATTTTTTTTTGTCCCATTGATACTTTTTTTTATTTTTTTTGATAAAATTTACTAAATCAAATCATAGTTAACAAATATAATTTTTTTAATTAACTATATATAATATCATAAATTATATAGGACTCACTCAAAATCTCTCTTATTTATATCTATCTCTTAAAAAAATAAATATTTTTATCTACATTTAAAACTCAGGTTAATTATAAATAAATAAACATATTTTTTTATTACTTGTATTATAGAAAATTTTATTCTACAAAATGATATTTATATTGCATATAATGTTTTATTGCGATATAATTTTTTAAATATTTAAATACATATTCTAACTTTTTTAATCATATATATTAAATTTATTTTAAAAATCTTAATATAATTAATTAAATAAAAAATATTATCATAAAAAATACTATTATTAACTAATTAAACATTATTATCTTAAATACATTATCATTAATAAAATTGATCAATTATCTTGAAACATAAATAGTATTTTTCTTGATTAAAAGTATGAAAAATGTATAATAATGAAACATAAAATAATGCTAAAAAAAAAGGGTAAACAGATTTTTTTAATCCAGTAATTGGGTCTCTTTATCATTTTAGTCTCGTAAGTGGAACCTGTCGCAAACTAGTCCTATAAGTGAAAATTTTTCGCTATTTTAGTCATCCAGCGCCGGAGACGCCCGCGTAGCTCGCCGGAGGTGACGTGTCCTCCAGGTGTCCTGCCAGGTCAGCGACACCAGCGGACACGTGAATTTATTATTATTATTATTATTTTTAATTGGACCAAATAAAAAAAATAAAAAAATACAAATAAAATTAAAAAAATAAATTAAAAATAAGTTTTAAAAAAAAAAATAAAAAATTAAAAAAATAAATAAAAATCCACGTGTCCGCCAGGTCAGCGACACCTGGTGGACACGTTACCTCCGCCGAGCCACGCGGGCGTCTCCGGCGCCGGAGGACTAAAACAGCATAAATTTTTCACTTATGGGACTAGTTTGCGACAGGCTCCATTTACGGGACTAAAATGATAAGGGGATTCAGTTACGGGACAAAAAAAAAAAAAAGAGTTTACCAAAAAAAAAATTTAAAGTAAACAAGCCTTTGGGATATGCTCTTTTATGATTTTACTGTGTTTGTTTTGTGTTTTTTGTTTGAAGAAATTTTTATGATGTGAAGTATAGAAAATTGTGTAAATAATATAAAAATAATTTGCATGTATAATATATTGAGTAATGTTTTTGAAAAAATGTGTTAAAAATTATAATAAAAAAATTCAAATACAAACACAAACCAAACCAAATAAATACTAATAAAGATTTATTCTTTTATCTTTTACACCATTATCAATAAAAAAAAAAACTATATTCACATTTTTTATTAAAAATATTATTTCTGTTACAAAATATTTTTAAAATAATTAAAATTATTTTACCTAAACAACATTATAATTTTCCAGAATAACTTTTATAGTAATTTCTAATAACTAACTAAAACACAAAGAACATTTCCTAAACAAATTATGTATTTAAGTGAGATTTGAATAACGTATTTTTATTTTTTATCTACTTTTTTTTTAATAATTCCAAACCAACTTAAAATATTAAGGGTTTGTTTATTTTCATTTGAAATAAAATAATTCAATTTACATTATTTCTAATAAAAATATACCATTATTTATTTTCACATAATAAAAAATTAAAATATTATTTTAAAATAAAAATATAAATAAAAACTTCAATTTTAAAATAAAAAATTAAACTGTCTAAAATACTGCTACTTTAGTCATTGAAATTAATATTCACTTGATCGGACACGAATTTTTAGAAAAATAGATAAAATAGAATTTTTTTTATAATTACAAAAAGCAAAAGAAGAAAAGATAGATTTTACTAAAATGAAACAAAAATATTTTTGAACTACAATAGTAAACATAAATTCAGATGATAGAAGAATAATATTAAAAGAAGAAATTAATAAATATATATACGATGGTGTATATTGTTTTTTTTTTATCATTTAAATTTATTATTACTTACTCCTCTGTCTCATATAATATGAGTATATTATTGTAGACGCCAGAATTTAGATAAAATGTAATTAGTAAGTAATTAAGATAACTAATAATTTAATTAAAATTTAAAAAATTATAAAATTTAAAATTTAAAATGTGATTAAAATGTATAATTATATTTCTAAAAAAAAAAATAAATTATATGAGACGAATGAAAATAAAAAATATGGATAAATTATGTAAGAAGGTGGGAGTATTTTTTACTTCGTCCCCCCAAAGATAGAGCCATTTGTTATGGACACAGTATTTTAGATAGGGTAGGTTATTAAGTTATTAATAATAAATTAAAATAATATTTTATTATTTTTATATATGTATAGTATTATTGATATTTTAAATATTATTATAATTATATCTCAATAAAAAATTAATTAAATTAATTTATATTTATTAACTATGCTTAAAATTGTTAATTTTTTTTTAATAAAAATAGGATCATCGTAGGGAGTATCATTTTTTTTTTCACAAATCGTTTTATTTAAATTTTTTATTCAATCAAATAAGCATAATAATGAGATAGGAAAATAAAAACAGAACAGTCCGTTGCAGCTGAGGCGGAGGATGAGTCACATTCTGCGAGTTTCTAGATCCAACGGCAGATAGCGTCACGTCACGTTACGTTACGTCAGCGTATCAGAGTGGGCCCCGCCCAAATACTGTACGGATGTGAAAGCGTGAACATGGATCATGCCCGTCGGCGTCGGATCTGATGGTTGTCAATTAGCCACGTGTCTCTGTCCATAAGATGGGAGCATGTCGGCGCCGGACATAAATTAAAAATAAAATAGATGCCCGGCTCTACTGGGAAATTCCAACGTCACAGCCCGGGCAATCATTTCATTGGCTAATTCTGCCATGCATCCATTTCTATCCAATAATCTCTAGAAAGAGTTTTTTGGTCGGTTTATTTTACACTATATTATGGGATTTACAATATTTGATATTATTTTTGTTCGGCTTCTGAGAGTCTTATTTATTTTTTTATATTAATTTTTAAATATTAACTATTATATTAAAATATAAAAGATTAAAAAAAAGTTACAAAAATAATTTCATTGGTATCTTAGAAGAACATTTTTACAAATATATATACACAAATTTTAAAGATATTTTTAATATTAACTGGAATGACGCAAAAGGTATGCGACTCTTAGAGGCGGACGAAGATAATTTTTTTCATCCAAATTAATTATATCATAATATCCGGCCATCAAAATTAAAAAAATAAGAATATTTTAATATAAGAGTGTCGTATGATAAAAAAATAAAAAATAAGAGTATTATTTAGAAATTTATCCAACATACTGAAATACTAATTTATCGTGCCAAAAATACCTAAAATTACGGTATGAATTTTTAAAAAATTCAATATTTTAGTGTAATACTGTATTGATATTATTTTTAATAAATAATTTAACTATTAATATAAAATAATAATAATAATATTAAAAAAAAATTGTAGACTACTATCCTAAATCTCTAAATTTAATACCCTATCCACATCACAATACACAACCGGCTGCCAACACAATTTTAAATTTAATTTTCGACCAAGCCAGTCCTCCCTTGAATCGTCCTGCCCCGGTTATGTTAGTCACCCTCCCCTACTAGACTTCGCAAATTTAGGTAACTTCTAATCCTCCTCCTACTGTTTTTTTTTTCTTTTAATTGTCGGCGACGCGCCGGCGGCCCCGTGGCCAACCGCCGGTGGTTGCAGTCTGTTGGTCGGGGGAGGGCGTGAGCATGAGCGTGGCCCTCCCCCTTTAAATGTAATAAACTTATTTTGTGAACTGAAGATTTTGTTTTTTATTTTATATATTTTTGTGGTGGAGAATAGTGATATTTATTATTTTGGTTTTAATGTTTTTGAAATTTAAAATTATATTTTTGATATATCGAATTTCGGTATACCGAAACATTCGGTACGGTACCGACATGTATTTTTGTCAAACCGAAAAGTTCGTTACGATATCGATATTGATTGGTATTTTCGATAAGATACAGTATGCTATCTATAGTTAAAACAAAATTGTTTTGTAATTTACTGTAGTTCCCAGAATTTAGAAATTGCATGAATATTTGTATTTTTAAAAGATATTGCACATGATCCTCTAAAAATTAAATAAAATTCTCTTATATTTTTTAAAATATTGCACAAAATCCCGTAAAA